GAAAGAAGGAGACATGCATGAAGTTGGCCTTTGGTCAGAAAACCATAATTCCCAGGTGAGACTACATTATAGGGGAGCAAAAGTCTCGGCAAGTTTGTCACCAGGAAAGGTTTATTCTTTCAATAACAAGCTGAAGTGTGTGAGGACATACTCAATAGCTGAAGTGAATCCTTGATTCTTGTGGTTATATCGTTATTTGGAGGAGCAATTTTTTCCATCGTCCCTCGTAATAAAATCTATGAAGGAGGTTGTATTCATTTATATATACCTTATGGGATTTGATACTGGTGATCATGTGATATTTATCTTTTTGATGCTTTGTTTTATTCCCCATGAGTCATTTAGGATGGAATAAGGGGAGATCCGTTGGATTGCTTCCTTCGTATTATTATCCCTTGGTATTGTTGCGTAGCTAAATGTATTGTGAATGTTCGGTACCGTTGACCTGAGACGTTGAAGAGTCTAGGCTTTCGGAGATCATATTCCAACCCGCGCCCACATAGTACATCTTTGGGCTTGCTTTTCTTTACGTTTGATAACAAGTTTATTGTTTTGCACTTAACTTGAACTGGAGATTGGGTTTAACAGATTGGGTTTAACAGACAGGACTAGTTCTCAACAATACGAGAAATTAAGGTTTGAATCTTTATTAGGAGATTTATATTGTTTTTATATTAATAGAATAATTAACTATATGAAAATATAAAAATAATTTGGACTTAATATCTAAAAATAATTAAAAACTAAATATTTTTCTTAAAGAGAAGAGGTGATTTGATAGGTTAACAAGCCATTTTACTTTAGCGGGCTTAAATTGATAAAAGGGGAAATCACAAATAAAGACCCTCGAATTAGCAAAATCACTCTATAGTCACCTGAATATGCTAAATTACTATGAGGAACCCAGTCTCAAATTGTAATTATGAAATCATGGCCAAATTACCAAAATACCCCTCTTTAATTTTTTTTTTTAAAAAAAAGAAAGCCACTGCCTCACCGGAATCCGGCCACCGGCGCTTCCGGCGGTCTTCCTTTGTTTTTTTTTTTGAAATTGTTTTTTTTTTAATTGGGGGGAAGTGAGGTTGGGGGGATTTGATCCCCTAACCTAATGCTTTCCAAAATAAGGAATGACCATTGAGCTAACAAATTTTTATTAACATTATGATGCAAAAAAAAAAATAAGTTAACTCATTTACTCTTGTTCCAGGTGATAACAACAATATATTTGAAAATAACAAGTTCTGATTGTAAAATAACACGTTTGGAATAAAAATTTAACAATATGTTTTTTTTTATAACAATAAATTTTGTTGCAGGCAATAACAACAATACATTTAAAAATAACAAGTTCTGATTATAAAATAACAAGTTTGGGATTAAAATTTAACAACACGTTTTTTTTTATAACAACACACTTTATTTCAAGTGATAACAACAATATATTTAAAAATAACAAGTTCTGATTATAAGATAATAAGTCTGGGATTAAAATTTAACATGTTTTTTTTATAACAACACACTTTGTTTTAAGTGATAACAACAATACATTTGGAAATAACAAGTTCTGATTATAAAATAACAAGTCTGGAATTAAAATTCAACAACACCTTTTTTTTATAACAATTAATTATTTTATACTTTTGGAAAATAAATTATTTATAACTTATAAAAAGTACTTATAATCTATTTAATTTGCTAAAAAAATAATTTTTATCTCCAATTTATAATAAGAACTTGAAGTATAATTTTTTATAGATTAAAAATACTTTTTTATTGTTCAAATTTATAAATAAAATTTAGGGAAAATGGCAACACACTTTTTTAATTTCTTTTTAAAATTTTTAATCTATATATCTATACAACTTATTATAAATCAAACTACTTCTTATAAATTATAAATAGTACAATTTATTGTGGATTAAAAATACTTTTTGACTGCTTAAATTTATAAATGAAATTTATCTCTAATTTATAATTAAAAATACTATTTTATTCTTTAAATATAAAAACTATTTTTAATATTTAAAGAATGAAATAATATAAAATTTATACTATGATTAATAAATAAAAAATGCCTTATTATAAATACTTTATAATTTATAAGAAGTAGTTTGATTTATAATGAGTTGTATAGATATACAGATTAAAAAGTATTTTTTTAGAGAAATAAATATATTAAAAATATTTTTTATAAGTTATAAATAATTTATTTTTTAAAATTATAAAATAATTAATTGTTATAAAAAAACGTGTTATTAAATTTTAATCCTAGACTTATTATCTTATAATCAGAACTTGTTATTTTTAAATGTATTGTTGTTATCACTTGAAACAAAGTGTATTGTTATAAAAAAAATGTGTTATTAAATTTTAATCCCAAACTTGTTATTTTATAATCAGAACTTGTTATTTTTAAATGTATTGTTGTTATTACCTGCAATAAAATTTATTGTTATAAAAAAAACATATTGTTAAATTTTTATTCCAGACGTGTTATTTTACAATCAGAACTTGTTATTTCCAAATGTATTGTTGTTATCACCTGGAACAAGAGTAAATGAGTTAACTTATTTTTTTTTTTGCATCATAATGTTAACAAAAATTTGTTGGCTCAATGGTCATTCCTTATTTTGGGAAGCATTAGGTTGGGGGATCAAATCCCCCTAACCTCACTTCCCCCCAATTTTAAAAAAAAAAAACAGTTTCAAAAAAAAAAAAAGGAAGACAGCCGGAAGCGGCCGCCGGAGCTCCGGCGCCGGTGGCCGGATTCCGGTGAGACAATGGCTTTCTTTTTAAAAAAAAATTAAAGAGGGGTATTTTGGTAATTTAGCCATGATTTCATAATTACAATTTGAGACCGGGTCCCTCATAGTAATTTAGCATATTCAGGTGACCATAGAGTGATTTTGCTAATTCGAGGGTCTTTATTTGTGATTTTCCCTTGATAAAATGCCAACATGCATCTGCTAACTTGCTACTCGACGCGGCCTATTTTACAACCCCTTTAAAGAATCTAGGAACAGGATATTGCAATTTTTTAATAATTTGAAAAAAATTTGGGGACTAAAAGTTGTACTTTTTCATATTAAATATAAACATATATGATATAATATACAAATGTTAATATTGTTTGGAAAAATTAGTCAAGGAATAAAATTATTATGATAAAAATGTAATTTTGGTCTTTTATCCCTTAGATTTGTAAAGTGTTATTTTATTTTATTTTAATAGTAACACTATTAATTGCATTGACAAAAAAATGCCGATATTATAATTTTACATGTTTATAAAATATGCCGACGTATGTTTAATTTAATAAAATAACAATAATTTGCTCAAAAAATCAACCTTAAAACTAAGTCTTAGAAAACTGAAGAGCGAATATATAAAATTAAGAGATTAGGTTAAACTTTTATATCAAATTCAATAATTAAATATGTATTTTTATCCATTATTTTACTATTCCTAAGGGTATGTTTGGCTCAATGAGAGGAAAGGGAGGGGAGGGATTTTAATGGAGGGAAGGGGAGGGGAAGGGAGTGGAAGGATTTTAATATTATCTTGTTTGGATTTATAAAAAAAGAGGGGAGGGGAGGGAAAAACATTTTAATATGGATAATTTTGCTCTTATTTTATTTAAGACGTGGGCATAATGGTCACAACATGACAAAATATAGATATAATGGTCACAACATGACAAAATATCGGCATAATAGTCATAATATGACAAAATATTGCCCTTTCCCTCCAAATCCTCCCAATTTTGGAGGGGAGGTTAGGGAGGGGAGGGGAGGGGAAATTTTAAAAAATTTTCCCTCCCCTCCTAAAATTTGTGTGTTGCCAAACAAGAGGAAATGATTAAAATCCCTTCCCTTCCTTCCCCTCCCTCCCAAATCCCTCATACCAAACACATCCTAAATGTAAGATTCATTTTATTGTATAATTTATTCTACAAAATAGATTTTACATTTAAAACTGAAAAAAATATTATTTACCTCTTGAATGCAAAAAATGCAGTTATGTAAGGTTGAAATTCTCATGAAGAAAAATATCCTCATTTAGTGTTCAGCAGTCTCTAAGGGTATGTTTGGTTGGAGGGGAGTGGAGGGAAAATCAGCCCCTCCCCTCATTTGGTTAAAAATTTTGGAGGGGAGGGGAGCTAAAATGTCCCCTCCCCTTATTTTAGCTCCCCTCCAAATTGGAAGTTTTTAGAGGGGAGCCAAATTTTTGGACCATTATACCCTTATAGATTTTTTAATATTCTACTTCTACCCATAAAATATATTATTATAATATTTATTTCAAATAAAAAATATATTATCCTAAGTAAAAAATGAAAATACATTATTATAATTAAAAATATATTATAAAAAATTATTTAAATAAAAAATTATAATATTATAAAATTAATTTTTTTATAAATATATTTTAAAGATGGAAAAAAAGATAGCCTAAAGAGAATAAAATTTCATTTTTCTTAGAGCATATAAAATTTGTTAATTTGATTATTTTAAATATATTATTATATTAATTAGAATAAAAAATTACTGTACCAATTTTTTAATACACATATTAATATGATAAGACTGAATTTTTATTAAATTATATAATTTAAATTAAGATGTAAATTAATTTATATAATATATCAATAAAAAAACATAAACTAATATGTAAGGGTAAAATGGTAAATTGATTATTACTATATCTCCCCTCCCCTCCTTGAACCAAAAAAAGGATCATTAAATATCCTTTCCTCCCTTCCATTTTAATCAAACCAAACAGGTGAGGATAAAATCTCCCCTCCCCTCCTTTTCCTACCCTCCCCTCAAACCAAATAGACTCTAAGGTGAAATGATGCGGTCATTTAATAAATGGAAAGGCCCAAATGGGTTGTTTTTGGGTATAATAGGCTGTTTTACTTTGAGATTAACGACACCGTTTTCTGCAATAGATACATAGCCCAGTAGCCCATACAGCACCGCTAAACCCTCACAAAGCCCTCCCCGTTGTTTCTTCATCGGCCGGATCACGTACAACCTCGCTCACTTTCCCGCAAAAATGGCATGGCGCTCTGGATCTCTTTGCCGCTCGTTGATGTCCACAGCTAGGGCTTCGCTTCGCCCTGCTGCTCCATCGTCTCTTCCCCGCCGTTGCCCGCAGCCTTTGGCCGCCCCTCGCCTCCAGGCCCGCCGGTTTTCCTTATCCGCTTCCAGGTGCGGTCCTTTTTTCTCGTTTTGCATTTTCGCTGCCATGGCCTTCCATAAATCATAGAGGTTGTAGATGCTTCACGCGTAGTCGTAATTAGGCATGGTTATGGTCGATTTTAGATTGGGAGCTCAGGACTTTGATCTGATTTACTATTTTGAGATTGAAACGTACGATGTGTCGACAACTAAACTTCTCTGATAAGCACTTCATAATGACACCGTTTCTCAACCTGGAAGTAGATGATTGAACTGCTTCACGAGTAAACTAGAGGGACTAAAAGTGCAATTAACCCGATAACAGCATGCTCTGTTGAATTATTGTCTTATATTCTTGTAACATCTGAAATTGATTCGTGTTTCTTCCTATCTTTTCTCTTAATAGTCTTTAGGGGTTTGTACTGGTGTGCTAATATGCCTTGTTTTTTCTGCCTAGGAATTTGGGAGAATTGGGATGCACACAATCTCTCATCCCGCTACATAATTCGATGTCTGCAACCTGTATCTCATCACACTTCGCTGTCAGCGCTCGTGCTTGTTGCGAGTTGTCCAATGGTACCTTCCGTCGTTCTTGTCAAGATCGCTAGTAGTCTCTTTGTGAGTCTTGCTGTTTTAACTAAGGACACCAAAAGAAATGAAGACATATTGTGGTTTATTGGCAGTGTGTTTTTTCAAAACTCCCTCCAAAATGCTCATTATCGCAAGTTGTTGGCCTAAAAATGTTAATGATTATTAAGTGCTGTGTTGCTCATGGTAAGCAGTTGTATATATTTGTTTAATAGAACAAATACATAGAAATAGAGACTACAATCTAAAAATTACGGATCAAGCCTCCGGGCTCATCAACCTCGATGGCCAAGTGGACTTAACCATACCTCTATGACTTGAGAACATTAGTTATAAAGACCTTAGATCTTCCTGAATCCTTACCTTCCAGCTTGGGTGAGCAGTAAGTTGGACGGAACTTGCTAAGTCTCTTGAACTTTGTTGATAAGAAGCTATTAAGACACAGATTTATTGGTAGGTGCGGAAAAGATGGGTGATGCACAACACAAGGACAATGCTTAATTGTAATCTCCCTTCTATTTCCTAAGTTCAAAACCTTCAATTCTCTAATATTTTTATATTAATACTATACAAGTGATTGCTTGATATTTTTTAAAATCAATTTTACTTCCCTAAGACACGTTGGCTAACAACTTATTGCAGGCGGTACTTTGTTTCTTCTCCTGTTAATATCCTTAAATCCATATATCTCTCTGTTTCTGTGTTCGATATATTTTGTAAAAGCTATACATTATTCGTAAGGCATTAATAATGTGGCTCATTTTAGACTTTGGACAAAGTACTGGAAAAAAATCTAAAGTTCAAACACTTGTTAACACCTAATTGATTTAATCTCCAAACTCAACGAAAACTATAAATGGCATTTAGGCAGGCTCGTATATATGGCTAACCTTTGCTTTTTCTTTTACTTTTTTCGTTCATCTCTGTTTCACTTGAATGTTTTGTGTAAGTTCTTTCACAATTTTGGATTTTTAGAACCAGAAAAGAAGTTTGTTTCTTGAAACAAAATTTTGAGCCTCCCTACCGTGAATAAAAAGGTCTAGTTTTTTTTTTTTTTTTTTTTCCTAAGTGGTTTTATATTGGATTAAGAATTTACTGCCAATCTTTTGTATGAATAAATTTGCTACTTTGACAAAAAATGAAATGTTTGTTAAGAGTCGTCCTTGAGATTGGCATGACCCTTCGATTCTACTTCTACTGATAATGGGTTAACTCAATTCCTTTCACAGGTGATCCTGATTCCTGAGGTGAAGTTCTAAATCCCCTCAGATTCCTATGGTTAAACTCTTAAATGGCCCCCTTCATCCAGCTTCAAACATGTGAATTTTTGTGCTAACCGTATGCATGAAAGTCTTACTAAGAAGTCAAATTTGGAAGCTTCATGTAGCTAGGGAATGGCTGTCAAATGCTCCAGTCCTTTTCATTTGAATGAATGATTTTAAAATATTCTTTCTCAACTAATCTAGATGCCAACTCTTATAAGAAAGCTGCTTTCTTCCACGTTCAATCAATACATTCCTCCCCAGTTAAAGTGCTTGGCTGGATGTGATTGTTTTGTTCTTGACAATGTTATTCAAAAAATTCCTGATCACAGTGATTTCACTGTAATAAATGCCTCGCGTCAGCTAAGTGTCATGATTTGTGAAAATTTTCTTTTAAGATGCTGGAGACAATTTATCTGAATCTGATGCTTGGTGTAATGGCATTTCCTGACAATCTGATTCTTCTTAATTGACCCTTCTTGTTCACTTCATCCCAAATTTTTGCTTTGTTTCTGCAGTTACCTGAGAGTGCTGTTAGATTGGCATAAGCTGCATTCAAGCAGATCAAGGGTTGTTAAAGAGGGTAGTATTGAAGAATCTGTGCAAAGACACTCATCTGTTACGCTATTACTGACTCGGGGGAGGGTGGATTTCCTTCCAAATTTCAATAGTTTTCAAGCGGATTAATCTATGCATTATATTTTTGTATGGTTTTGGGTAACTGCTGTATTTTTGTTTCATTATATTATTAGAAATAAATTTAATCCGTCATCGCTTGCTCTCTAGGAACTTGTACGTTGTAAAAGCTCTTGGGCATGAAATGGGGATCGACAGAATTCAGAGTGGTGTTAGCTGACCATTTCTGAGATTTGTAGGTTTAACATTCAAGCCCTTCCTTGAGGGCATCGATAAGCGCCAACAAAAATGAATTTAATAGAATCGGAATTTAGCATCAGGATGATTGAGATCAATCCCTGCCTTTTAACACTGAGAAAATGCTTCAAGAGTTGAACTGGTGTGAAGCTGTTTCGCGTCAGGTTTTACTGGACCAACAACCGTACGTAACGTTTATTTTTGTCCTACAACAGATATTTAACGTAAATGAACTATATTTTTTCCCCTAGAATAAAGAACTTTACCGCCAAAGCCGTGCCAGAAAGGATGATATTAAGTGAACTTAAAAAGATTCCTGCGTCCTGTCCAGGTAAAATTTTAATGAGCTCAATTTTAAAAAAATTAAAGAAGTGAGATCTTAATATTTTAACAAGAAAAAAGTGTAAAAAAGAAAAATAGAAACTAATTAAAGGCTTTTAATCTTTTTTTTTTAATTTTTTTTAAATTGAAAAATTTTCTTAAAAAATTTTCTTCGTACCAAATGGACCTTGAAGGAGGGGGAATGAAGTTATATTAAGTTAAGATCCTTACATCCTAATTTTTGTCCAGATCTAAGAATTAGCATTTTCCTTGCTGAGGTCAAATGGACCTCGAAGGAGGAGAAATAAAGTTATATTAAGATCCTTTCACCCCTTGCTGATCTCCAATCGTCTTATGGGCAGATTTGATAAGAGAATTCCATCGTTAGAAACATGAAGCATCAACTTCCCTATTTGGACCGAGTGGTTGAATCATAGACGATATGCTTAACAGCGTCTTGTGAGGAGGTAGCGAGACATCTTGCAAATGTTCCAACAACCAATTAGAGATCTAAAGTCAAGAACTCTGGCATGAAGAAGTGTATGGCATAAGGAGGGAGGTTCATTTGTGAAAACGAAAGAAAATCCCTTCCTTCCCCACCTTCCATCCCACATTTTTCAGTAATTGTACCAAGCTTTACATGTGTTATTCATTTTTCCTTCTAAATTAGAAGCACAGATAATAATGACATGACTTGAGGTTATAAGCATAATTGAACCCCTAATCTCTCACTTGAAGGGAAATATTCTCACTACACCAAGCTACAAAACCACTGGCTTTAAATATCGGATTCCGAGTATGAGAAGATATACAAGGTTTGATAATCATAGCATATCCTCCTATACTAGATTATGGGTTCAGTGCATTGTTGAACAGGATCCAACAGAGGAAACTGCATTGTTCGTAATGTAAATAAAACTAGATTTCAGATTCAATGTAGTAGCAGGAAACCAAGGTTGGAAACTGCATTTTATGGCTGAATATCTATATAGGTATTGAATTCTTTTTCTTTTCTTTTTTTCCCCAAATGTTTATAGATGATTGAGATACTACCTCCTATCTTTAATATAAGAATTAGTTTGACTTTTAATTTAGTCCTAAATATAAAACCACAATCCACTCTGTCTCTCATAATTTATCTGTTTTTTTTCAAAGTAATCCTTGTAGTAGTTACACATGTTAAAGATTTTATTAAATAACAGTTATAGCTAATATACATGATTAGTAAGATTATACTAGAAAAGACAATACATATTTATTACAAATAACTAGTTTAACAAACTTTGTTAATCTATTTAAATTAGTTAACTTACTCTTATATTAAGGATCGGAAGAAGTATCAGGCATCATAAGGACGCTTGGCCCTCTCTGCTGAAACCAAAAACCAGCTGCTGGTTATCCATCTTGTTTTTGATATTGTCAAGTGTTTGTGTAATATTATGGCGATGAGCATATTTTGCTGATGACCACAAAGAAAATGTAACCTAATTAGTGGTCTGAATTGTGCAACGTGCCACGCTAAGTTAGGTGTAATGGAACAAACTATTGATGTGGCAGACCTCAGCTGAGATGCGAAATATTTTTGAAGTATTTTCAAATCTTAAAAGACACAAACTCTTTTCCTTTCTAATTATTCCGTTCGAATGAATAGGGGTCGGTCCTAAATTAATGAAAGAAAATTGACGACCACTTAAACCTCAGCTATGGATCACAGAAAGTATTATTGGGCTAACTTGCGTGATTAGATTGCAACTAATCAATGGATAAATGCTGGCAATCGACAACGACATGAACCAACAACAACAATATGCCATTGTACTACTGACAGTGTGTTTCACTTTCCAGTTTGCATTTGGAGTCCAGTTTTGTATTTTTAATTAAAATTAATTAGCTAATTATATATATTATCAAATGAAGGACAAAGGTTTTAATTTTTAAATCACAAAATTATTCAAAGTTTGTGGAAATATGGTGAGAAATGTAACTTTTAAAATTACAGATTACTTGCATGCACGACTTTGTGATTTAATAACATTTGAACTTCATTATACATGAGAGGTTTTAAGTATGATTCTACTCGTACTTCTAATTAAAAAGAATTTAATTGTGTATAATGTAATTTAAAAACTAAAGAATAAAAAAAATTAAATCATCAACATGGTTTCGTTCTCTATCTGATTTTAGAAACTTTAATTATTTAAAATCTCTCCAACCACAAATTGAATGCATAAAATGCGAGATATATATAAAAAAACAAAATTGAATCTCCAATCTTTTTTAATGCAAAAATGTATGACTATGAGTAATTTTATTCTTTTGAATTCAAGTTTATGGAATTAGGGTATCTGTGCATTTAGCAATTAAATATTATTTTATATGTGTATCCAGTAAACAGATGATATCTTTTTAGTTACATTCAGTACCATAATAATTAGGATGTTGAATGCACTATAAATAAGATAAAAGTTCTAGATGTACTATAAAAATAAAATAATGATACTGAATACATTTAAAAAATATTATTAGAATGTTGAATGTTGAATGTACTTTTGTCTTTAGAATTATTACACATATAGTGGGCTTTATCAGTTTGAAAAAAGTTGAAGAAGCCCCAGGAAGAAGACACCTCCATTGATACTTACTGTCTGGAAAGAAAACCCTACTTTTTTTTTAAATGGCACCAAAAACCCCTCTACTTTGCATCACCATTATAGGAAAAAAATCTATTCATGGTCCCATTCCCAAAAAGCAATGAAAAGCCAAACCAATCAATCACATTACACAGTTCAGAAACAACTCATTTGTGTCCACATCTTGAAGCTTATGAACCACTTCTTGAACCTCCCAACACAGATTTTCCAAAAGCAGATCGATCATCATGCAACTTACTGTGTATTATATATTCTCTTCTTAGCATTATTATTACTATTATTATTATTATTTTCAGAGTTGAACAAAGCACTGTGTCATTTTGCCGACATATGCATCTGCAAGTGCCTAACTTTACAATGGCACCTTTTATTGAAAGGAAAGCAAAGGCCCAGAAGCCAGACGGAGCCACTTTCATACACAGTTTTGGAATAACAAGTTGACAAATAATTTAAAATCATTCAGTGAACCTACCGCTCACCAAAATGTAACATATTCGCCATACAAAAAAAGTTTATCTCCTGCATTCAGAGGCATTTATATATTTATTTATTTTACAATATGCAAAAGATTGAATTAATATCTGTAAAAGTGACTTTTATTCCAACTTACTAGTACAAATTGAAGTTGGAGAAGTCAATATCAACATACAGGGCTATTACTTAGAGTATAATTAAAATTGACATGCATATACATAACATGATAGGTTTATAACCTACCCAAGGAAGGAAAGATATTTTGTTGCATGATAGGCAGAGAGTAGGACACAGGGCTGGCAGGTGAACCTAGCATTCCTGTTCCTATAGTTTACTAGGAAGATAGTTAACTAAAGGTTGGAGTTTTGCAGTGAGAGAAAAAGGAAAGAAATCAGAAATACAGAAGTGGGGAATCCTAAGTTTGACAAGAGCAACTGTGAAGATGACATAAGCATTGTTCTCTCAAGCACCAAGCAACTTCAAGTGGGGTCACTCTCACTGATTTAGATTAGATAGACATAAAATATTTTTAAAAAAATTCACACAAAAAAAGAAATAAAATCCACTCTTACTTCTCCCACTATCACACCACCTCCACTTAGTTTTCTATGTATCCAATATCTTGCTAGCGAGATTCCCACAAGCCATTCAATCTCTCTATTCAACATCTGAAGTCTAAGAGAGGAAGGGAATGATATTCATCCAGGAAGATGATGATGGTGATTTAAGAGGCAACAAGGAAGTAGAACTAGAAAGAGAAGTAATGAACAATATTGAAGCAAGCGAAGATGAAAATCCAGAAGCAGGAGAATGGTTGAACCTGCGTTTAGGGGGAACACAGTTCTCAACAACATCAGAATTGTCAGAATCACGATCAAGATCTCCATCAAATGCGAAAATCTTCTCGTGCAACTTCTGCATGAGGAAGTTCTATAGTTCACAGGCCTTGGGGGGACACCAGAACGCACACAAGAGGGAGAGAGGAGTTGCTAGAAGATATAGCCAGACACAGAAGATGATGACGATGATGGGTTTTTCCTTTCGATCACTTGGAGTTCAGCCCCATTCACTAGTGCACAAGCCTTACCGCAGAGGAGGAGGAGGAACAAGAATAGTACCACGAGCTTCCATGAAGAAGCTCACCATTTAGGAGGAAATAGAATGGGATTGAAGAATTGTTTCGCGGCCGATGAGGATCAAGTGGAATTGGTCTGGCCTGGAAGCTTTCGGTTGGATCCCCAACAAAAAGCCGACCCACCTAAAGAGTCAATGAAGCTGGATTTGGACCTGCGACTCTGAAGTACGAAGACTAATTATTATTGGACTGGTCATGGAAGTTCATGTTTCTTCTGAGATTCATCGTTTTTTAAGCATGCAGCCCAGAGGTAGGATGCTTGAACTCGAAGAGCCAATATCTTAAAGGATGGTTCGCCCGCAAATTCATGCTACAAGAATTAGAGTTTCGAATGTTTATATAGCTTTTTTTGAAATTACCTGAGATGTTTATTGTGGTTGTAGCACCCCGGGGGGGGGGAAAACGAGGGGCATTAGTTTTAGGTTATGTTTGGTACGAAATATTAAAAATAAAAAATAAAGATTGGAATCGAGATTAAGAAAAACCATTAAAGAGTGTTTAGTATGAATAATTTTCTTGTTACATGTGATTAAGCAATCCCATGTAAGTGGGATTGAGAAATACCACATCCCCATAGTATTTTCTAATCTCACATATATAAATTTGTCTAATCCCAAGTAATAAGCAATCACTTATGCTAGACACTCTTTAAACATATTTTTTCAATCTCAATCTTATTTCTTACTCTCATTTTCAATACTCCGTACTAAACAGGACTTAGTTCATTTGTGATTGATAATGACATAATTATTATTGATGTTCAGTGCACATAGGAAGTCTGGTTTATTTCCAAGTCATCGTATCTCAATTTTCTTGATTATATTCTATGCTTCAATAAAAATAGTAGTTTTATTGATAATTATTGAGTACGTCATAAATAAAACGACATCCCTCGCCGTGAGCTTAATTAAAATTAAATGAATTCAGCGAATGAGTCGTGTCAAAAAACATTCAGGAAAAAAAAAAACATACTAAAACCGTGTAACAATTGAGAGGGGGGGGGGGGCAACGCATGAGGCTCTTGATAGGCAAGGGACAGACACATGCGATCTTACCTGCACCTTACCTCCATGAGCAGCGAGATTGTTTCCCGAATTAAGTTGCCCAAAAAAAATAACAATGAAAAAAAAAAAGTACTCAAAACCATTCCATTCCCACAATATCGTGATTTTTACACGAGATAAGTATGTAAAAAAACTTTTGTCCCAATTTACAAACTCATTTATAAATACTTGCAAACATGATTTCAAACAGACATTAGGCTCGTTGGTCCAGCTGCTCAATAAAATAACGACATAATTGCGCTATCTGCTGTCTGTAGAAAATGATACATTCTGCCGGCACATTGGGCCTCATGGTAAGTCACAGGTTGTTGACTTGAGGTTCCATGTTCGAAACCGGCGAGAGGGAGAGAAAATGATGCATTCTATCTGATGACGTAAATTTACACAATTACATGTGAAGCTTTACAGTTTCAGACAAAGAAGCTCTTAAAAATTCATCCTGAAGAATCAAAGGAGTATAGACCTGCTCGCTTCAAGCTGTACTTTTTTTCCTCTTTAAACGGTACAAAACAATTAGTGTTCAATTATTGTCATCACTTTCAGTTCCAGTACCTTTCTCCAAATAAAACCATTTGTTAACGTCACGACCTCAGAATAACTTTAAAAATTACAAGTATCCGAAAAGCTTCAAGATTAGCATGCTATCTGCTATTTCCTTAGCTGGTACGCCCAAGAGTCCCCGCCATATCATAACCCGCATCCTGTCCGCTCTTCGAAGCAATTGATGGATTCAACAGCCATTGCAAAATGTTATTCTGTTCCTCACAAAAAGCTAGAGTCAGAAACGAACCCCCCCTTTTTGTTCCCTCCTGTCATTTTCCTCCGGGGAGATAAATTGTAATACGAACAAGATAGGAATAAGACTGAATCTTTTTTGCATAATGAGAATCTACGACCTTACAGATTAAGCGGAAATGGTTAACTTTTGGGTCTTGTGCATGACCACAGGGAGCTTCATGCTGATGGCGCTAGGATCGCTATAGACAGAAGAATCAACAGGGTGTCCATTCTGCACCAATTAATCAGAGAGGTTAATGCGCACTTAGACACAAATTCGACAATAAATTACATGGATATGCACCTAATTCAATCGTAGCTCTGAAATCAATCAGTTTCAGTTTTTCAATTCTCATAGCAGGAAACAAGCAAAATTCAATAATATCTGCATAATCAAGAATCTTAACCATTCCAATTATGTAAGGTTGACAAGTGTTATTAAAACCATTCATGTAAATGTAGATTCAGCCAGAAAATTGCTATAGCACTAGCATCCATGATCAATACAGTTATGCACCTAAAAAACAATATATAATACCCGCAGTTTCAGTTTTCAAAATGATCTTTACACATAGGTGTTAAGGTTAAACCCTTGTGGTAAATAAACTCCGGAAAGACATGTAAATGCATGGCACAAACTTACCATAGACAATGCTTCAAACGTAGATTCTCTCCAGCACATCTCCCGAAGTATAACAGGATTTTCACCACCAAATATACAATGCATGCGAGTGTCTCTCAGTCTAATCAACACTCCATCAACTCTTAGCTGTTAAGACGAACAAATCAACAATTGGATCACAATTTTAAAGAAAACGGTGTAAGTAAATCTCTAATTAAATCACCAAGTTTCTCATGAATAGTGGAGCAATTTCAGTTAATTGTGTTTTAATATGGTCAACAGTATGATAATGTATGAGGGGGGAGTAGCTCACCCAGAATCGCAAGAGAAGAAACCAAGAACTTGGCATGACTCTCTATACAAACCGAAAAGTCATATCATCAGTCATTGCCGATGATATTCTTAATAGAAATAAACGTACTCCATATCCAACAGAAGAAAATAGATGAATAATTACCACTTTTACAGTAAGAAGAGATACTCCGTTATCAGCTAGCTCATCCTCATATAGGATCACCTGTTCATAATGAGGATCAATTTGTGATGGGAAGCAAATGCCATCAGGGAAGATGGGAAGCATAAGAATGAATTCATTTCCATATATTCTTGAATAGGCTAACATAAATCAGACTTCAATAACTAAATTCACTCTTCCAGAAAACTCACAGAGTTGTCAATTGATAAAAGAACAGAAGAAGGGAAAAGGAGGGGGAGCAGAGTGAAATCACAGGGGAAAAGGACCAGAAGGTGGGGAATAAGAGCACAAAGAAGAGAAGTACGAATTCTAAACAACATTTACCTCTTTACCCCAAGAGTACCTTAATAAAATAGGCGAGGGCTTTATATGGAGCCCCAATAACTTCACAAACATAATTTCTATAAACAGAAGTAAATTAAAATACTAATTTCTAATCATAGTCAATATACTATTTCCAATATTTAATTTTAATTCCTAATTTAAAAATAATAATATTTTCCTAATCTCTTCCAGTTCCCTATAATCAACCTTCTAAGGAGATGGATCTTCTTCATTCTTCCAGTGGAGCATAATTTCCTAAATACCTCCAAAAAAAATCACTTTGTTCACAAATTAATTTGTGCATAGAATAGGTTTGTGCACACCGTGCAATTGTCATTTAAATAAATAACTACTCGCCTCATCATAAAATAGTATAGGTTCTTTTGATGCCAATGCAACTACATCAATCTTCTCCTCGCAGTCTTCCCATTTGAGATTGCATTGTTCCTCGGCAACACTTGCGTCCTACCATTAAAATTCAAACGGCTTAAAATCATCAACAGATGCCCACTATTCACAGTATTTCTAACAGCAGCATTAAGTGCCTGAATACTATGGTCAAACTGCAGCAATTTAGCAGACACTCATTCTACAGACAACATCTTCTACAAATGAGTAATGACTTGCACACAGAACTTTAATAGAACTTAGATGTTTGGTATGGCAGATTCAGTGCAGGTTTGGTATACTCCTTGGTCCCTTCTGACGAGATTTATCAAGAGCCAAAATCAATTCTGCTGCCTGCACTACAAATGAAGAAAAAAGAGGGAGCACGTACCTTATCTTTATCAATCTCGATAGTTCCACTTCCACAATAAGGAGTTGTAAATGTATAGTCATAATCTAGTATTACTTGCTGAGAGGGTTTGCTGCAATTTTTTTTTCCCAAAGAGTGTGAGACAAAGAGCAAGAACTATTTGCTGGTAAACAGAGATAAATTGATAACAACTTAATTGAAAGAAACTTCTCAATATTATGTTCCTCACGTGGTGAATGCATCAAAAAATTAATAAGCTTTTTATTCTCTCAGAGAAAGAAAGAAACCAATGTAACAAGATTGTAGAATTCAACGATATAAGGAATTAGCAGTGGACATATTCGAAAACTTGAAAAGCAAAAAAAAAAAAGTTGGTAATTTTGTCAAAATAACTTATCTCGTTACCTTCTAAACTTCCACTTCGCAGCTGCTGGCACTTCCACTGGGGGCAGGGCTTCCTGTTTCCAGCCACATAGAGCATCAAATGCATTAAAATAAAGTTTAGTGCCACTCTTTACGTGTTTTAGAATCAAGGAATTTTCCCCAAAAACCATTTCTGGCAAGTGAGATGTCTGAAGTTTCTGTTCCCATCTGTACAATGCATCAAATTAATTCATTAAAAACTATAGGATCAAAGATCAGGCAAGTGAAGTGTTTTGACATATGGGAGTATTGAAACTTGAAATTCCAGGAAATTTATAGTAAGTTCGAGATAAAGAACATGATTGGTTCTATTCTAATACTGACAAAACATCAGTATACATAGTAAAAATCTTTACCCTTGAGCTCCCACTCCCGGGTCTCTCTACGTCTCTCAGAGAAAGCAGCAATTTCTAGTTAAAATACTAAATTAAAAAAGAAATACGCCTCCAGAAACAAGAAAAGCACAAAGCAAGCACAAAACAGAATGCAATGACTCAGTCACAGGTGCAAAAGGAATAGTTCCTAAAATTGGAAAGCACGTCAGCTAGGGTTAACAGTAACAAAAGTGCGTACTCTTGAGCAGTGGAGGACTTGAGTATAGAGTGTTTCAAAGTCTCAATCTCCCAACCGCGGATGCGAATACCACGTCGACCATCCCCAGTTAGGAGCTCAGCACCGGCGGTTTTCAGGTCATTCTCCTCGACCTTCACTTCCATCGTGGCCTCGTTTTACCACGGAATTACTTCGCCCTGCGCCGCTCTAGTGAATGGAGATTCTGTGGTCAACTGATTCGAAATTTGGGGCCGGAACGGGATCGCGTGTGAAACGACTCGGAAGACCTCCCACAGGCTCTTTGTAAAAGGAGCAATTTTAATTTGTTTTCGTAACAAGGGACCGTTTCGTATGAGGGAAAATCTGGAACCAGTTGCTAATTCTGATATTTCGTAGAATCTTAGATGAATAAATTCTACTTCTTGAGACTTCTGTGTAATTTTTCCTAATACAAAAGAGTAATAAAAATTAATTAAAAGCTCTTAACCTAAATTTTTTAATTTTTTAACTCAAGCTTTATTAAAACAACCCAGCGGGAAGCTGTTAACAACCCAGGCAGTATCCAATTCAAAGCTGAAACACAATCTCTCTCTCCTCAACCTGTGTTCGAACTGCTCCCTCTCCCACCAGTTGCGTCTCTCGTACTCGTCGCAGTTACTCCCTGGTGTCGTCTCTCCCTTCATAGTCACTTCCTATGGTGCAATCGCTTCCTTGTTGCATCGTCTTCCCCTCTTGCAATAGGTTCGCCATCTGCTATCTCCCCTTGTCACAATGGGCCTCTTGACGTCTCTTCCTATCCCAAACTGTGCATTGCCGTCTTGCTATCTCCCTCACCCTAATCATGCTGTGGCATTGTCACTCAATTGGCCTAAAATCTCTCCCCGCCCCTAACCGCGTCATTGCGCAGAAAGCATTGGGTCTTCAACGGCACCTTCATTAACAACATCAACGGTGAGTATTAACAACTCAAAGGGAAATTGTTGACAACTAGGCAGTGTCCACTGGTAATTGACTTTATAAGATAACACAACCTCTACATAACACCAAATTATAACCAAATAGTATAATACAACAACTTTAACACTAAAATGGAAAGTTTTTTTAAGGCATTAATAACTTTAACTAAACTCAATAGGATCACAACAAAATTTTAATGCAAAGATCCATTGACAACCTCAACAGCAAGTATTAACAACTAAGGGAAGCTGTTAACAACCTAGACAGTATTTGTTGATAACTAACTTTATAGTAAATTACAGCAATCTTGATGAGTGTATATTTTTAGACATCATAGATGAAAATTCACAGCCAACAAGGGATGGTCTAATAGAAGAACAACATGTGTAAGTGAAATTTAGTTATTTTAATTTAAAGTAATATTGTCTATTATCAATTGTTCTGCTTAGGTTGTCATTTCAGCGGTTGAAGGTTGCCATTCACAACTCTATGACTTGTCTTATTATGCAGGATGCAAGACTTATTTAAAAGTTTAGATGTATTGTCCATGTTTCCGCTCAATGTGTTGGGTGAAGACCCACCATCATTGCCATGTGGTTCACAAATGATGCCAACATTCATTTTCAAAATGAATTCAACAAAATTGAAGGATTTGGTTATTGGAGAAAGATAAATTTTTGCCAATATGGTGGCCCTTTGACAAACACTATATAAGTACAGTATTGCTATGAAGTTTTCATACAAATGATTTCAGTGTTAAAGTTGTTGTGTTATATTATTTAGTTATAATTTGATCTTATATAGGGGTTATATTATCCTATAAAATCAGTTGTCAACAAATACTGTCTAGGTTGTCAACAGCTCCCCTTAGATTGTTAATACTCATCGTTGAGATTGTCAATAAATCTCCGTATTAAAATTCTGCTATAATTCTATTAGGTTTAATTAAAGTTCTTAATACCTTCAAAAAGCTTCCCACTTCAGTGTTAAAGTTGTTGTATTATACTATTTGGTTATAATTTGGTGTTATGTGAAGGTTGTGTTATCCTATAAAGTCAATTATTAGTGGACACTACCTAGATTGTCAACTGCTTTCCCTTATGTTGTTAATACTCACCGTTGATGTTTGCAATCGCATTGGCAAAGAAAATAATGAATTGGGAACCTGAGAGATAGTGATGTTATTTTACAATTACAATATAATACTCTAAAGTCTCTTGAGACCTGCTATTAATTCTGAAATTTTGAGGGATCTTAGATGAATAGATTATATTCCTTAGGATTTGTGTGTAATTTTCTCTTTATATTACTTCTTCTTTTAATTAAAATTTTAAAACTCCACTTCTCTAATTTTTTAAATAGAACTCATTAAATTTTTCCTTTCCCTCCCCTTCCCTCCACTCCATTTCCCTTATACCAAACAAAAAGGTAGAATCTAGCACCAACCAAGTACATCCAATATTTTTAGAGAATCTAATATTTTATCTTATTCTTTTTTATATTCTTAACACTCTAATCTTATTCATAATGCATCAGGTGCTATATATATTAGAAAAATAACATCAAAATGTTGGTGTACTATAAGATTTGTGCTAAAAATACTTAAAAAAAATAAATTCATGACGCTAGATATTACATTACCCTTATTTTTGGTCAAGGGAAAAATGTAAATTTAACATAATTTAAATTATAATGTTATGGCTCATGACAGTTTTTTTTTTTTTTTGCCAATCATCACATAAAATTGGAGGACAAACAATTTTGTTTATTCCTTATGAACTATAAATTGTGTGATTTGTTATAAATTTTATATCTGATGTTAAGATATTGAAATTAAATAATAAAAATGTCTTCTTATGAAAACAAACCTCACTTAAGATTCGCCCTTACTGTAATTTTTAACATTTAACCTACAAAAATTAATGTGGGCATGAGTAGTTGTCTCAGCGGCCCAATGGGTAGACGAAGAGGATGGATTGATCGAAGCGTCCTACTGTCTGATGCTTCAGAACCTTACGGGCCTTGAGGCCCTCAATATTTTGGGCTTTCCCCAGTGAGGCCCATTTTCCTTTTCTCTCTTTAGTGGCTTTCAAGTTTCATTGTGTCATTCCTTTTGCCCAAAAAACAAATTATGTCATTCCCGAGCGAGAAACCATGCATGAGAGATGAGACATCGATATTCAATGTTATAATTTCGGCAAAAAAAGATGTTATAAACTTATAATAACGTTACGCAAGATTTTGTCCAAACAAAAATAACAACTTTAGTTTAAAGGCTTACCGGGCACAAAAAAAAAAAAACCACACACACACACGCGCGCACTTTTTTTCAAGCTAAACTATGGTTTTGTTTAATGAGGAAGTCAGAAGAAAAGTTCCAAAGGGCCCATGGGAATATGTAGAATGTGATATATGGGAAATATCTTCAAGAGTATAAAAACTTCAAAATTTGTGTTAAAAGATAATTGTGCCTTCGTACTCTTTTTTATTTTCCACCTCCTTGGAGTTTGGTACAGACAAAAGCAGTAAATTTCTCAAAAGAATAGCTCAGCATATCACATACACGTATGTACAGATCTTCTGTTCCAACATTTTAAAAAAGACCATCTGATTAAAGAAGGATGGATGAGCTTGTTTAGAGATGCTTATGTCAAGTGATTATAAACATATTTACGTAAATCGAGATATCATTCTTTTCATATATTCATATCATTTTCTGTAAATTATGATATTAAAGCTATTTTTAAAGGATTTTATATCATCTGAGGGGATTTTATATCAGATATGATTATTGTTTCAGCTAATTTAAGCATTGCTTCAGTTATAAAATCCCCTCAGATTTTTAAATCCTGTAGGTAAGTCGAAATATAACTTCTCTCATATCTCATATCATCTGAGTAACTACCTTTCGTTCCAAACAAGCATGAAGCCTATTATTCAAATGAGATTGTAGTTGTGCATCCACCTTTTTAATACTGTAAAATTTGAGTCTCACATGTCCCGCCAGGCTAATCTATTGGACTGCCGACCTCATGTATGTTAATATGATTACTGCTTCAGCCAATTCACACATTGCATTATATTTTGCACCATAACCCACAGGATTTCAAGTACAATTATTAATCAATTGACTTTAGTTTGCTAATGAAGCCATTAGGCAACAGTTTTTCATATTATTCACATGGTCGTGAATGATATGATTAATTAGGAACTCCACTTGGGAGTTAAAATGAAATGTGGGGGAGAGAGAGTGGTCAAGATTAAGAGAGAGAGAGAGAGAGTGGTGTGGGAGGGAAGCTTCTGGGGAGGTGCGCAAAGGCAGAGCTTAGGAATAAGTGTTGTGTGTGTGGCTGGGGGGATTATACGTACGGCTGGGGAGTGAGTTGGGGGTTGTGCCGTTTACCCCAAAACGTGGCCGATTGACCCGCCGTCTCGCCCACCTTCGTTGGCACACGCAAAATCCGAAACAAAACGACCTTCCCACTGTTGCTGTCGTTTGACTGCTTCCATCTTCTTCTTCTTCCCCCATTTTCCCTCCCTTTTCTTGGTTTCCGTGTTTTCCCAACTCACTCCAGTTCTCCATTCCCTTCCCACTTATCCTATACGAAATATCCATGAAACCCTCCCTCTCCGTTTGTCTTCCTAATGCTGCAACACTATAAACTGAATATTATATCAAGAATCGGAGTTTAGAGGTAGTATTAAAAAAACACACTGGTCAATAAGGGAACAATATCCATACACTTCAATTATCTTTAATATAAAAACTACTCAATTCATTTAGCTAGATTAACACATTAGATAAATTAATTGTTTACAATAAATATAACCTGATCTCCTTAAAATATTCATGCGTAACATTATATTATACATATTTTGTAGGGAAAATTGAGAAGAACGACCTAAAAAAATTAGTAATTAAGAAGGATCTTAAAAATTGTAATTAGTTTGAAGGACCAAAAATTAAAATATGAATTTACAATTACAAATTATCCCTGGCCAAATCCCTACATTATCTCCAACGCCCATCTCAAAATTTGACTGTTAGTTATCAACTGAAATATAAATTTATAATTACCAAATTGCCCCCCATTAAAATTAAAACTAAATACAGCAATTAACAAAAATATAAAGTCCTATTTTCAGTCATTCATATCTGCATCTACTAACCTTTCATTCTGATATGGCTGGAAAAATTTCCAGCTTGCGTGACTGTGATTTTGCCCCTTATTTCGATGTGGTTGGAAAAATTATTAGTAAAGCTTAGGTTACGAAGCGGTAGTATTTATCTGATTTTCATATTTTGGTTAACAGAAAGAACTATATTTATATCAAC